TCCCCCCCCCCCAAAAAAAAAACGTTGACACCTGAGTTATTGTTCTCTATGCTGGAGAAAAAGTTTGTCTTCAGTGTCTCAATTTACTATCGGAACAACTAATTCTCGAGTTAGTTTTGATGATTTGGTTCAAAAATAGCAGAGATTGGATTAGATGGGTAACGATCGACTCTTAGCGTGTCCGTGTTCTTTCCGAAAGCGCTATTGGTTCAAACTAGCCCGTTTCCATTCGGGTTAATTCGGGTTCTCAGCCCAGCCCAGCTCCGATGGTTTCTGCGCAGCCTTACCACGTTTATTCCTATATTCCACTGTTTTATTCCTATATTTATATCATATAACTTTTATTTGCCTCTTTCTGTCCAACTGCTTCCTATATTTTCCAACAGATAACTTCTTGAAACTCCATTAATTGAGGTTTGAGCGGATTATTAAAGCGTACTGTTGCAGGATCGAGCTGGTCGTCGTCTCGGTTCACTCCGAGTTTTGAACTCATACTGGGTTGGAGAAGACTCCACTTACAAGTTTTACGAAGTGATCATGATTGATCCCTTCCACAAAGCGATCAGACGTAACCCCGATACTCAATGGATCACCAAGCCTGTGCAGAAGCATCGCGAACTTCGTGGACTCACATCTGCCGGCAAAAAGTCGCGAGGTCTTGGAAAGGGATGGCGCTATTCTGCCACTCGTGGAGGTTCCCAAGCCAAGAACTGGAAGAGAAAGAACACCACTGTCTTCCACAGATTCCGTTAAATTTATCGTTCTTACTTGTTATTTTTGGTCCGTTGTTTGTTATGCCACATGCCGAAATAACAAGATTGTTCATATTTGTGTGGATCATAATAAGGAGTTAAGAGTATTGTGTCTTTATATCTGGAAAATACAAAATCATGTTCAAATCACAAAGACGTTATAGTGCAAGGAATCCATCATATGATTCGCACTGTGAGGATGATGTGTAGTACCTCGGCAGAGGGACCTATAGCAGCAACAATACGGAGGAAATTGCAGGAGACTTTTGCGGTTGGCTTTTTAATCTTTCTTCTGATAGTAGGGCCGGGTTATGAATTTGTGGTTTTGTATACCTGGCCATGAATATACACACAGTCTCGTTCTCTGCGCACGAAGGGGCGCGTTGGCTGGATGAGTTTGGCTCCAACCCGTTCTGCACCATCGGTGGAGCGGGTAAATGACCATTTGGTGCAGAATGACTAATACCAACGATATGGTACAGTCGTTGTCAATTGCTCGCTTCAGCAAAGTGGAAAACGGGTTCGACACCGCCAAACAGCTTGCCTGGCACGCCTTTTCATAGCGAACGATACTATATTTGCTATGAGACTGGGCAGTGCACGATCCAGTAATAGACAGAGCCGATCGGTTCCTATCCATTCTATTGTCTCCTGGTGTCCAGAATGACCACTCTCCTGAATCACCGATTAATCACATGGTATGTGTCCCTTGCTTTTTGTAATTCTCCGACTCCAAGATTTTCCCCAAATCGGTTCTTCCACATTTTTCCACATCCAAAGTGCACAGACCGAGTATTCAGTTAAAGGCAGCAGACTCTCTGAAGCATTCATTTCAAACCCTGGGCCTTACATTGTATTGAACGGAACTTCCGGATTTTTTTTGCAGTGGAATTTTCAGAATGGGCGCTAATGTAGCTGGAGGGGATCGCGCTTAGATAGTAAGCAGAGCACGGCGACTCTGGTTGTCTGCTCCTCTTTCCCTAACCGACGTAGTCCCCTTCCTTTCCCTCAGACTCATGCTGAGAAGAACGCAGGGCCAGAGTACCCTGCGTGTCTTCCTCGAGCTACGTTTGCGCCTAGAATTAAGAAAAGCGCGAAACCACAAATGGTGAGCAGATGACGCACTGTTTGCTCGCTATCCGTTGGTGTAGCCGTCGAAATCCTTACCGGACGTTTCTGAGTTCGCTGACTTCGTGCACTTTTTACTTTTTTAAATAATGGGTCGATATGGCCGCGTTCATACACAGCGAACGAGCTCAATCACCTTGCTTGGGAACTGATCAATGACTTGGGGCGGATAATCAGATGGAGCTCTGCTTTATGTTTCTCTGGAAGCGAACAAGATGTCATCTTCTGATCACAAGTATGATATTCATTTTCGGCGCCCGCGCGAAGCGAGGCTCTCTGGCTACTGTAATCTGTTAGAGCTGAATCTGGGGTGTGGGCATCGCCCACGTGTATGAGTCTCCCAAATGCAAGATTGCAATGAATTTAGTAAGTCGCACCAGCAATTCACGCCAGCACCACCCTGGCACCAAATGACGCAGGTGCCGAAGACAAACGTCATATAGGTGATCAGGAAGCAATAGTTGTAATCGGCTCTGAATAACCTTTAGAGACAGGGTTTCAACGAAAATTCTGGGATTTAAATTGGTTAGTAGTTGAGTGATAACTTATTTTTCCTTCTGATGATTTTGATTTTCCTTTTCCTTTTCCTGCAGAGAATACTTCGCTTTCAGCCGTCTCATCTTGAAATCGTATGCGAGAGCTACATGCATAACGTGCCTAAGGGATCCGAGAAGCATTTCCGGGTTCAGATTGTAGTGACAAGTTCGAAGGATGTCGCTGATCGAGTATTATGTCAATCCCTTATTACCTCCTCTATTAAGAAGAAGCCCTCGAAGCGAAGGCTCGTTAATTGACCAAACCCTCTGGCCGCATAAACATTATTCAGAGATTAACCAAAAAACTGGAACATCCAAAGGAATTATGCCATACACTTTCTCGTTAATTACATACTTTACTCCTATACCTTATTGAAGGTAACCCCCCCCCCCCCCCCCCCCCACCCCCCCCGCCCCCCCGGGGGGGGGGGGGGGGGGGGGGGGGGGCGGCGGGGGCCCCCCCCCCCCCCCCCCCCCCCCCCCCCCCCCCCCCCCCCCCCCCCCCCCCCCCCCCCCCCCCCCCCCCCCCCCCCCCCCCCCCCCCCCCCCCCCCCCCCCCCCCCCCCCCCCCCCCCCCCCCCCCCCCCATTTTTTTTTTTTTTTTTTCTACAAAAATGGTGTATTGCTGCTTTCAAAATCATAAAAGGGTGGTAAATAACATAGAGTTGAAGAAAAAAAGCAGAGAAAACCTACCCGAAACGCCGCATGTAGAGCCCCACCCTGAACCGCGCTTGTACGTGCACTAGGTGGGAGGGTCGGGACTGTGCTTCGGACGATCGTTCTCACTGTTGGATTCAGCTTTTCTTCCTTATCACCACTAACCATTCAAAATAGGAAGAGCTAGTAGCGGTGTAATTGCACCACGAAGGAATGAACATCGGGGCGTTGCCGTGACAATGGGTGGGACCGTGGGTCTCGATGCGAATTAGCCGCGCATTGAGCTGGCGAAGCTGTACACCCCCCCCCCTGCCTTCCGACAGCCGACTATTGACTCTCAAAGGAGGCGCCGTAGCGCGCATGATGCATCAATGAACCCGGCGGCGACAAAACCGTGCCTTTAACTGATTGTGAAACTGAGCGAGTACCAGGAATGGATTTGCCTCGAAGTGAAAGATAAAATACACAAAGCTGAGAGAGTTAGGAGTTACTGATTTTTTTTTCGACTTTCTGATTCCTGTTCTCAGGCCATAAAGAAGTTTTAGCAACGGGCGTCAGAAAGGGTCTACTGTGAATTCCGGTACTAGCAAGTAGTGTCTTTTAGGTCTTACTATTGATTTTGATTTCCGCATGTCTATTTGTCGACTTTCAGAGGCACCGGATGGTCAATTCTTGCTTGTCCGACGAGCTGGCGGGTCCAGTACATGCCCTTAGGATCGATGCGATTCCACCGAGCAAGTGGGTTGGCCAGAAGCCGCATCCAAGCCCGGCATGTCGAGGTGGCAATGCGTTATAGCCATCAACTAGAGTTGGTTGTACTGTTTGTCTGTGATTAGGGTCTTGTTATATTGTATAGTTTTTCCAAGTTGAGGTTAAGTAGTTCACCTGTACGTGTTTCGAAATTAAAGCATTAAAGTGAGCGTGAATGATAAATACCATTTATTTGAAGTAAGTGCCATTAGGCGTTTTGTTTCGCTAATACTTGAACATTCTTTGAAAATCCTTAAATAATTATATACGGTTGACATTGTAAGATGTGGAGCGGAAGTTCCACGCTGCTTCTGCGGATGCTGGAAAGCATTATTTCCTAGTCGGCGTTCAAGGCGTTCCGGGGATGTCCACCAGGACCCCAACGCGCTCAACACGACAGCGTTGCAGGGTTACAACGTATCTGTCAACCGGGTGCTCTCTCGCTGTGAGGGAGGGGTTTTCTCATAGCATCTTTTGTGCGAGCATTCAGATGAATGGAAATCAGGAAAACGGATGAGAGAAGAATGAAAGAAAAGGAAGGAAGGAGGAGGAAAGTTTCGCGGCTGATTTATATCATGAGACCGTCCGTTCGTACTGCGCTGTCGCGGCTGGGAAGTAGCTCCACACCTTTTTTTGCGTCAACGTGTTTTAAGCGAATTTGCCCCAGTCGAAGGCTGTAGCCCAACTTCACGCTGTGTGATCGCTTATGGTCGTTGCCGATAATGCACTTTGACCCTAATTTACGGCGGCGGCGGAAAGGACTGTTGTACTGTAAACAGGTATACCTGCGCAGTCTGGCAATCACCTTCTGCTCTGCCAGATAAGGCTTACTCTCTCCTTATAAATTCTCTCTTCATATAAATTTCACTAAAGCTCTTAGTTACGCCGAGAGCGCAAAAGGCCGCTATCGCCGATTTATAATCTCGCACAGAGGGCATAATGTCCAATAAGGTTCAGGACATGTCGTACGCTCGAAATCTCCCTGTATGAAGGAGGAATCGTATTTGACCATGAGGGTTTTTTGAAAAGTCGATTTTACGTGTGTACCCACATGGCGCGCAGGTGGTGTAGTGACAAGTAGCGCGTTATCATACGCGGGCGGCTCCCGCGGCCCAAATCCCGAGTCGACTCCCGTTTAGAACAGCCAAGTCCTCCTTCCCTACTGATGGGGAAAACTTTGAGGAGAAAGCTGAGAATTTCTTGGAAAGTTCAGGAAAAAAGTAGTCGGTGTTGGGAAATTTTGGAGAGATGGCAAGTACCATGGGGATGGAAGGGAGGCGTGCCAGAGAGGAAAGTTAGGGGAGTGGTAATTTGCGGAAATTCCCCCACCGACAGAAATTGCCCTAATAAGGTTGAGCATGGGGAAGGAGCTTCTGAGAAGCACTGTTAAGTGGTTCCTTCTCTCCAACTACTTTAGGCCGCGTTCATAGCTTGCGACCGTGAAGAAATGTAGAGATGCAGAAGTGAAGAAATGCGGAAACTGCAGAAATGCCGAATTGCGGAAAATCGACACCTATCTAACCTCTTCCGTCATTTCTGCATTCCTTCAAATCAATACTTATCTAAATGCTTTATTGTCCCGTCTCCGCAAGATTTCGGCATTTCTTTCCGAGAATTCGCATCCGTCTACATTTGTTCACGGTCGCAAACTATGAACGCAACCTTTTATTTGGTAACCATACGACGTGACCCATTAATGTCTGATTTCCCCTACAACTCCTACCACCCTGTCGATAGAGTAGACCGAGGAAGAGTACACATCGCTCGAGTGAAAGTTCTCGAATGACGTGAGTTCTCACGTGGTCAGATGTTTCGAAACGGGGCGCGGCAAGCGCGTCGATGTTTGCATCATTAACAGTCGATGGTCACTTGTGAGTTGCGTGGTGGACTATTCCATCATCTAAGAATGTTGGAAAGTTCCTACCCTCGTGGTGACTTTTTCAGTAGTCTTTACATTGTGGGAAGTAAACAACTTCTTGTCATTGAGGTGATTTTACTAGTGGCAGGCTTTATTTGTAGATACTAAAACTATTAAAATTACCAGGTCTAGTCGAAGTAGCACCACACTTACCATTTGTTGCTGTTTTCATTAAGTTGTGGTAGAAAAGCTTTCCAGTCATGAATTTTCACATGTCGTCTTTTATCAGAGCTGATTTCCTCGTTCCTTTCTTCTCCAACCTTCTAGTCATCAGTTTTTCTTGTTTTTTTTTGGCTGTGCATTTTGTAGTGTACTTAACTGTTTTGAACGCTTAGATTTACTCTGATCATACTTTTCTAACTAAAATTATTCTAGTAGATCTCTGTTCCGTATTTATTGTCCCTGGCTGCCCTTATGACTTTTCGAAATGGGGCGCACCAAACGCGTTGACGGTTGCATCATAGCGGTTGATGGTTATTCCACAGTTCATATGGGTTAGACACGAAATTAAGTCAACTTATTCCTCACTTGCTTCAACTGTCGTACCATAGACTTATCTGGAATCTATTCCATCCGAATTTCCGAATCCAAATCACTTCAAAATCACAAAATTCAGCGGCAAGAGTGAGAATTTTTGTCTAGATCTAGGGAGCTCTGGATGGATAAACCGATCCTTCGTTGCGAAACGGGTTCTTGAATATTTTGACAAAATGTCCCACCTTACTTGGTGAACCCCTATTTCCACCAGGGCGCTTCCTGTTGTTAGGGAAAATTTTTGCAAAATATGACCCCCCCTCCCTCCCAGATTGGAGGTACGACCCCACCCCTTCACCATGTTATCACCACCTTCCCAGGTTTTCCAAAATTACAAGCAACTTCTAAATTCAGCTATCGAAAATAGTAGTTGTGTGGTGTGTGCGGGACCGCCGGTTAGAGGGCTACATAGCGCTTGTGAAACGGGGTAACATAAATAACTAAGCATCGGCCACTTTTCTGGCGCGCGGAAGACTTTCTGGAAGCCATTTTCGATCCTCTCCCGCCCTCTCAAAGCGTCGAGGAAATACCCTGTCCCCCCCCCCCTTCTTCAATGAGATACTCCTAAACT